TGAAGATTCCAGTAGCTTTTTGTTTTCTCAAATGGAAAAGACAATGCAATGGAATTGCAAGAATCCCCAAGAAGTACTAAGGCTGTAGCTGAGTGGCAGAGCACTTACCTAGCATATGTGAGGCACTGGGTTCGATCCTCAGGACCACATAAAAATAAACAAATAAAATAAAGGCATTCTGTCCATCTACAAACTACAACTACAAAAAATAAAATAAAAATAAATCCGAAGAAGCAAAAAACATATTGAAAATGAAAAATGTTAAAAGACTTCAATTTCTCAATTTCAAAACTTACTACAAGTTAGAGTAATCAAAACATGGTGGTACTGGCATAAAGAGATACACATGAACCAATGGAATGGAATTGAGGGTTCAGAAATAACCCAATGTTTATAGCCAATTCATTTTTAATAAAACTGGTCAATGAAGTCTTCACCATTCAGTGAAGAAAGAATAATATCTTCAACAAATGGAACCTGGACACGTGGTCAACCACAGGCAAAAGAATATGGTGGACCTCTATCTCACTCCATGCTTCATAATCAACTCAGAATACATCAAGAGCCTATGTAATAGTTAAAAACATAAAACTCTTAGAAGAAATCCTCAGGGAAATCTTCATGCCCTTCTGATTTGACAATGGATTCTTGGGTCTGACACCAAAAGAACAAACAAACCATGAAATAAATAAGTTGGACTTCCCAAAAGTCTTGTGTATTAAATGTCAGTGTTGAGAAAATGAAAAGACAACCAGCAGAAAGGGAGAAAATGCTTAAAAATCACATATCTTAAAATAGTTTGGTATCCATGACATATGAAGAACTCCAATAACTCAACAATGGAAAATCAAACAATATAATTTTTGAAATGGGGATAGGGCTTGAGTTAACATCTTTCCAAAGAAGATATGCAAATGAATACTCAAAAAGGGGCACAACATTATTAGTCAAGAAGGAAATGCAAATCAAAACCAAAGTGACACCCCACTTCACACCACTACAACAAGTATAATAACAATAACAAAAAAGTAAGTGTTGGAAAGCATGTGGAGAAATAGGAACCCTCATACATTTTGGGTTGGAATGTAAAATGGTGCAGCTACTGTGGATAATGCATTGGTTCCTAAAGAGTTTCAACATTGGATTACCATATGACCCAGAAATTCCATTCCTAGAAATGTATCCAAGAGATAGAAAGAAAAACATATTAGGCAACAGAAATTTGTAAACAAATGTTTATCTCTGAATTAACCAAAACAGCCAAAATGTAGAAACAATATGAATCTCATCAAGAAATGAGTGAATAGATTGTGTGTAACACAATTGTCATAGGACAGAATAAATACCAATACATGCTATAGCTTGGATGGATCTCAGCACACTATTCTAAGTGCAAGAAGCCAGGTCCAATAGATACATACATGATTTCAATTCTATGAAATATCCAGAATATGCGAATTCATAGAGACTGAAAGAGTAGTGGTTGCCAGGGGCAATGTGGGGGATGGTAGTGTAAAGGGGAAAATGGAGTGACTGACAGGCTAAGAGTGTTCTGGACTGATGAAAAACATGGAATTACAGAGAGGTTGTGTTTGCACATTTTGAAACCATGAAATGTCACTGAAATTATACACATTTTTTTCTTTGTTTGTTCTAATTAGTTAATATGACAAAGAATGCACTTTAACACATGATACATAAATGTAGTATAACTTCTCATTCTTCTGATTGTACATAATGTAAAATCTCACTGGTCATGTAGACCTATATGTACCTAGGGTAATAATGTCTGGTTCATTCTACTATCCTTCCTAGTGCCATACCTACCCACTCCCTTTAGTCCACTCTGCCTTATAGGAAATAACTCTGTTCTTCCCTAGGTTCCCCTAACACACACTTATTGTGAATTATCATCTACATATCAGAGAAAACACTCTGGTTTTGATCTTTTAGGTTTGGCTTATTTCACTTAGCACAATATTCTCCAGCTCTATCCATTTACCAGCAAATGCCATCATTTCATTCTTCTTGAAGGTCGAGTAAAATTCTACTGGATATATACACCACATTTTCTTTATCCATTCACCTGTTGAAAGACATCTAGGTTGGTTTCATAGTTTAGCTATTGTGAGTTGAGTTGCTTTAAATACTGATGTGGCTGCATTGCTGTAGTATTCTGATTTTAAGCCCTTTGTATAAACCAAGGATGGCTGAGTCAAAGGTGATTCCATTTCCAGTTTTCTGAGAAATATTCACACCACTTTCCATAATGGTTGCACCAGTTTGCAGTCCCACCAGTAATGTATGAGTGTACCTTTTCCCCCACATCTTTGCCAACATTCATTGTTTCTTGTAATGTTCAGGTTGAAATTGTACACTTTTAAGTGATTAATTTGTATATTATATTAATTTCACCTCAATATTTATTTATTTTTTCTGCAGTGCTGGGAATCAAAGTCAGGGCTTCATACATGCTAGGCAAGCACTGACCACTAAGATACACTTCCAGATCCAAACCTAAATGGTTTTTAAATAGGCCATACCCAATGCTTAGCATAATACCTTTTTGAATTAAAAAATGAAGATATTACATGAGAAAAAATGTGTTAGATCATAGAAGACATTAAAGGTAATTATCAATGTATGGTAAGAAATCAGGTAATTTTAATTCATTTGCTTACGTTATTTTATAAATCTTACAACATTAAGAATTAAATGCATATTAATTTTTTATCTTTTTTGAGAAAGAATTTTTTTAATATTTATTTATGTTTTGAGTTTTCGGTGGACACAACATCTTTATTTTATTTTTATGTGGTGCTGAGGATTGAACCTAGCGCTCCACGCATGTCAGGTGAGCACGCTATTGCTTGAGCCACATCCCCAGCCCAAATGCATATTAATTTTAACAACTAGGAAAAAGACACTATGGAAATATTAACTGTTTTTTTTTTTCAGTACTAGGGATTGAACTCAGGGCCCTGCATTTGCACAGACTCTACCATTGAGCTACCTCTCTAGCCCTGTTTATTTTGAGACAAGGTCTCACTAAGTTGCCCAGGTTGTCCTCAATACTTGTAATCCTCCTGCCTCAGCCTCCCATGTACCTGAGAATAATAGATTTTTTTAAAGTTTTAAGAGAATGTTTAAGCTGTAGGGTTAAGAATAAAAGGAAATTGCATTACATGTACAGTATTGTCCCAAGTACAATACACTGCTTAAGTTTAAACATCTGTCTGTGGGAGTCAGGAAAATATGTGTTACTTTTCCTTTCTACTTTCTAAATTTTCTTAATGACACAGAATAACCACAATCAGACAAGTAATTTATTTTTTAAATGCTTGCTGTCGGGCATATTAAGTTTCTTTTAAAAGTAAGGCTTTAATAAATATAGATGCTATATTTATATTTGCTATTGACAAGGAGGATGCCTACACTGGAATTATTCATTTTGAAACTTAATGTTCTGCCTAGAAAGATAGTAATATATAGAGAACACAAAGATAGAAACTTAAATCACCAAAATCTAACAATTTCGAGACATAGTTGACCTTTGAAAAACATGGGTTTGAACTGGATAGGTCCGCTTATATGCGGATTTTGGTGGTGAGGTGGATTTGTAAAAATTTTGGAGAAAAAAAGGAACCTCATAGCCTATAATATTGAGAAAAATAAAGAAAATGGTATGTCATAAATACATAAAATATATATATGTAAGGGTCTATTTCACCACTTGCTACCATTCAGTATGCATTCATCTATTACAAAAGTTAAAACTTATCAAAACTCACACACACAAACTCAGATCATACACGATGCCACTCAGTGGAGAGAAAGGCAAAAAAAAAAAAGTGAAGAGGCTGCATTAAATCTTACTGCATGAATGAACTGCAGCACATCCTCATCCACTGCAGTAATTTCATAGCCATCTCCTGTTGCTGTTGCAGTGAGCTCCCGTGTTGTGACTCTTTAAAAGCCCCTGTGATGCTGATCATCCCCAGGTGAGCTCCACACTTTCAAAAGTCAGACCATAATTAGTTGTTCTTGTAAAAAAACCTGAGCATGGGCTCAGCTAGAAGCAATCCTTGACTTCCAGTGTAGTATGAACATCAGCATTACCAGTGTCTATTGTGAGCCTTCCTGTCAAGAGTGTGCCTCTCTGGCCAAAGATAGAGAGGACTAAAAGGACATTATTTTCCTTTGGCTGCCCGACATGCTTTCTCATTTCACATGGTATTAGTGACCTGACTAGCCTTTAGGACATCAGCCGTCTCCCATCCTTAGTTCAAGTGGTTTGGGTGGGTGGGAACTACCCTAGTCTACACTGAGAAGTAGGAGTGACCTGGCTCAGGTTACTCAGAGGATTCAACTCCAGGAGCCTCAGCAACTCATTAATTTAGTCCAGTGAATATTTGGTCTGAGAGTTTTTCTTAAAACATTGAGATGAGAGGTGGACTCTGTCACACTGAGTTTTGGTAATTTAATGAGAGATGTATAAAATACCCCTGTGAAGAAGGCATGGTGATGAACGGTTTGCCAGGTAGGATTCCAGGATAGTAGACGTACCTTGTTACTGTCTATACATCGCTCTACCTTATCCCTCCCTAAACCATGCCTGTTCATCTTCTACCAGAAGATCAGCTCTCTAAGGGAAGGAGACACATCTCCAATATGCTTGGTCCTAGCACAAGAGATGGAGGCACATCTGCTAAATGCACGTCTGCTACAGAAATTACCCTACTGAGCTCAGCAGCAAGGCATGGAGACTATGCATAGTTGTATCACTGGGAACCCAGAACACTTCACTGACCAATACCACATCCTACAGTCTCCACCTTATGCTCTGGGTTCCCGTTCTGAGGTGGAACAGGTGGTGCACTCTGAATCATCAGCACCCGGTACTGATGTGGTCACTGCCTAATTCTCTCACACAACCACTCAGAAGACGTCATCAGGCCAGGCAGTGGGGGTAGGGAGCTTTCATAGAAAGCCTTCTATGATGAAGCACCTTAAAAACAGACAGAAACACAAGATCTCAGAGCCCACTCCACCTTCTTCTGCCCCTGGGGACTAAAAGAAAACAAGAACGAAGCTCCACAAGCCCTCCTAGGAAGATGCATTTGCTCCTGCTCTTGTTGGCCTTCTTTCTGCCTCCCAAGGCACAGGCAGGTGAGTGACCATCCCCTCTCTCAGAGGTTCAACCCTGACCCACAGCTGGCACAGAACTCCTGTCCCTTCTGCACACCCCCGATCCATCCTTCTGCCCAGAGTCTTCTGAATCCCAGTTCCAGCCCCACTGCAGAACCCCAAGAGAGACACTGATTAAGCTAACAGGAACAGAGCAGGCAGAAGTCTGTTTGGAAGAAGAGCCAGTGGATGCAGACCCCTGCCTAGACCCCATTCTGGTCATCTGGAAACTGGGGCTTAGCTACAAGTGCACACCCCAGAGGGTGAAAGGGAGGAAATGTTCAATTCTCCTGGAAAGGAGCAGAGTGGGTCTGGCACCTATGTTTGGGGTGAGACAGGCACCCTTGCCAACTGCTTAAGAGAACTCTAGAGCCCAGGAGACCTCAGAAATGCTGGAATCACTGTCCCCAGAACACTTCCTTTGCTCTGTCCCAAGCCACTCTATCCCTTTTGCCAACTCTGTTTCTCTTCCCATACCTCTGGTGACTCCCCTGTTTTCCAGTGGAAGCCACTGTGGCAGACACTAACTTCTCTGCTTTCCAGAACCCCAGCAGCACTGCCCTACCAACCCTCACCCAGAGACAAACTGGAGCCATTCCTTGTGCATCCCATGGACTACACGTCAGGCCTAGGAAACAGGACAGAACAACATCTAGAGTAAACTGCAGTCCTGGCCAGTGGCAAGTAGCCAGTGTCCTTGGCATCACAGCACTCAGGAGGGCCTCAGAAATTTCTGGAATAACAAAGCTCCCCTGGGATTTCATTGTCCCTGAAAATGTATGCTCAACTCCACCTATGTAAGGAAGAAAAACTCATAGACCAACACCTGCTTTCCTTTCCTTATTCAGAAGAGGAAGTTGAGGCCCCATTTCTCAGCCCCTGCCCAGACTCAGGTCATCCAAGGTTCCCAAATGCCCCACAGTTCTGGAGGCATGAAACAGATGCCCACCTGCTGGATTCAGTGGGTGCACACAAGCAGGGTGATTTTTCCTTTAGGGGAGATCATCGGGGGACATGAATCCAAGCCCCACTCCCGGCCCTACATGGCCTATCTTCAGTTTGTTGCTCAGGGTGTACAGAAGAAGTGTGGTGGGTTCCTGATAAGAGAAGACTTTGTGCTGACGGCTGCTCACTGCTTAGGAAGGTGAGGAGCAGGAAACAACTCAGACCCATCTGCAAACATTACACAGAGACCTCTGCCCCTTCTCAGTAGACACACAGACACCTGGGAGAATATGTGCAGGAGAAGCCTTTACGGGTGGGAAAGAGGGTGAGACAAGTCTTATGGGGGGCAAGGCAGGTGACTCAAGAGGCACTACTGTGCAAGAAAGACCAAGGTGGCCAAGCCTGCCATATCAAGAGCTGGGAGCGTGCTTTGCTATGACAATGCAAACTTAAAATATTTGCATGTGTTTTCCTGGGCATGATTGAGTCCTGAGAACGTATGGTTCAGATATCAATGGCTTCAGAAATCTCCTCAGCTGGTAAGAAGCAGAGGGCACTGTCACTCAGCCCAAGGTTCCTCTCCTCTCTGTTCCCCCTCAGCTACAGCTCTACCCTGCTCTGCTGTAGCCTGCTCTTCACAGCTCCTAGATGTATTCTTTATGACTCCACATCACCCATGACCACTGCACTCTCTATGCAGGCCAATGAACGTCACTCTGGGGGCACACAACATTGAGAATCTGGAGAAGACCCAGCAGGTCATCCCAGTGAAAAGAACCATCCCCCACCCAGACTATGATGCTCATTATTTCTACAATGACATCATGTTATTGGAGGTATGTCCCTCGCCCAGCTACCTGTGACTCCCTAGTACAGGTGCTACCCTCCCACACTGACCCTGCCCCTTTACTCACTTCCATCATGGTCTTGATGGTCTCCAGGCCCAGAGGCCCTTGTCTGAACTGGACTCTTTTTCTTCTTCCCCATAGCTAGAGAAAAAAGCCAACCTTAATCCAGCTGTGCAGCCTATCAAGCTGCCCAGGGGCAAGGACAAGGTGAAGCCTGGGAAGGTGTGCCTTGTGGCTGGCTGGGGCAGAATGGCCCGAAATGGCAAATACCCCAACACACTGCAGGAGGTAAAGTTGAAAGTGCAGAAGCACCAGGTGTGCGAGCGCGAGGAATTATTAAAAGAGTACTACAAGAGTAGCATCCAGATATGTGTGGGGGATCCAAAGGAAAACAAAGCTTCCTTTCAGGTAAGACTAAGTATCTGTCTCTCTTGGCTCTGAGGAGAGGGGTGTTTGGGGGAAGATCTGGGGCCTGGAGACCAGGCAGCATGAGCCTCCTTCACCCAGTTGGCTGTGATTTCTCCCTGGAAAGAGAAGAAGGGAGCAGCTGGGAGTACCTAGGGCCTGCACTGAATGATGCCTGCGTGGAAAGCTGAGCTAGCAATGCTCCACACTGCCTCAGCTCACAGGCATTAGAGACTTGTGCACCTATGTGTGCAGTTGCTCTCACTAAGTGGCCAGTGCTGGCACCCACCCTGGTCTCTGGGCTCATCCTCCATGCTGGTGTCTGTGCCACTCACCTGCTTCCAAAACCTTGAACAATGCAACAGTGGACCCTCACACTTTCATAGGGAGACGATCCCAGAACCTGGGGAGCAGGACAGAGGCTGACCCCAGGAAGGAGGTTAAGTAATAACAATGTCCACAGTCAGAACATATCAGCTGAGAGCCCTCAGAGTCCTGCAGAGTCCTCTGAAAATAGACCCCACATTTCATCCTTGTCTGAGAGGTAGTCTGAGATGGCAGGGAGGATCCAACCAGGAGGATACAGGCTCAGTCCTCCCTCTTCTCTCTTCACAGGGGGACTCCGGAGGCCCTCTTGTGTGTAACCATGTGGCCCAAGGAATTGTCTCTTATGGAAATAAAAATGGGAAACCTCCCCGTGTCTACACCAAAGTCTCCAGATTCCTACAATGGATAAAGGAAACCATGAAAAGCCACCAACTGCAGGAGACAGACTAAAGCACCTATAAGACTAATCTTCTCTCCAGAAACTGAGTCTAGAATCACCCTGGAGGAGATGCTCACAACTGAATAAATGTCTCTTAGCCATGTGGGAAGACTGGTTTTTTCTTTATTCACTGGCCTTCATTCACAGGGTCTGTGTGCCAGGCAGCCATTGACACAGTTCTGCTATTTTCTGCTTTTCCCTCCTCTTTCTCCCCTCAACACCTGTTAAATCCCACACAAAGCTGTGACCCAGCTCCTTCCCACCCCTCCAGTATCTCTAGGGCTTGCCTTTCTGCCAGTGTTGGAGCTGGGCACCACCAGGAGAAATTTTGAATGGCTCTTGCCTGGGTCTCACGGTGAGTTTTCTACCCCCTTGCTTGTTGAGGTGGAAGATATATGTGGGGGATCCAAAGGAAACAAATAGTAGAGCACCATGGGTCCTGGAGGTCAGGTAGGCAGAGCTGAGGTCACTGCTCAAAGACATGGTCCTACCCCCTGGGCACAGGAAGGGCCCTCCTAAACAGGATATTTCTCTCCTTCAGGTTTATCCTTAAGAGGGATAGTCCTTGAATAGCCCCTCATTCTCACATGGAATTACATTCCTTCCCTGCCCTCCTCTGAGTTTAGGGTCCACCCTGACCTCCAACCTCATGGCTGCACATTCTTCTCTATCCCTGCTCATATTCTATCAACTCCTCTCCAGACCACACTGATCTGGGCTGCTCCCTTACTCAAATCCCTCCACCTAGGACTCCAAGATCCTAGGTTCCATCAGGCCTTTCCATTGAGGTGCCAGCCCAGCTCATGCCTGGCAGAGAGGGGACATCATAAGAACCAGGGCAGTGCTGGCATCGTGCAGGGCCCATGGAGGACCTGGCTGGCAGGATCTCTCTACAGAACACTTGGTCCTTCTTTCACTTGGGCACAGCTAAAGCAACCCCTCACTTTCAGATTGGTGTTCTCCCATGTTCTCAGGGTCCACTGGCCACCTGATCACTCAGCAGCCTAAGACTCTTTCAGCCTGTCCCTCTTAGTCACTGCTAGCCTATAGCCTGAGACTTCCTGCTAGCCTTCTAGGCCATATCAGTTGTATAAGTTCCATAAAAGAATGCCTTTCTGCAGAAGGACTGTGAAACACAGCTTTTTCCAGCAATCACACTCATTGAGCACTTCATAATGGCCAGAACTTGGGGACATGCAATTAACACAGAAACTGACCTAAGTGGAATGGACTGTGTTGGAGACTTTCCAAATTGTCCTGCTCCATCTGTAATGCCAGATTCCTGGGACCCAAATAGACCTCCAGGAGCTGAATCCAATATAATCACACAAGAGTCTTTATTGCAAGCTTGAGCCTGGACTCACAACCGTTTCCGAAGCAGCAGTCCTAGGGAGTGAGTCCCGGTCCTTTGTTCAGTGAGATTTTGTAGGTTTTAGGGGGTACTCTATGCATCACAACATCACACAGCAAATCATTCCATACTGCGGGAAAATCAAACAACAACTCTTAACATTGATTAGCACATTCACTGACGGGAACAAGTTGGGTAGGGGTGATTGGTTAAGTACAAGAGGGGGATTCCTTTGAACTGATTGGTTTAATCCACGAGGGGTGTACGTGCTAAACTACATGGTTTCCCAACACGTTATCAGCCACCATAAACTACTTGGGGGTCATCTGGCATCCCAGGCATTTTCCCTGTCTCATGATAATTGGAGGTTGCTAGGGGGTTGCTATGGATCCTCACCTAGGCTAACTGAGTCAGGGACACCTGAACCTGCAGATCTCTCATGTTATTTGTAGAAAAAACAACTCATCAGGGTGGGTATGTACTTAGGAGTGCTCTGTTGGTTTTTCCAAGGACAAGGGTCAGGCCCCCTTCATTGGACAGGCTTTGAGACAGGCTGTTTTCAAAAATGGAGTCATATCATTTTCTCACATCCTCCCTATCAGTCCATAAGGTATAGACCTATGGGAGAAATACATTAGAATTCAGAATTAATATCTTCATTTTATTTCTAGTTACAGGCAATATGAATACAATATTGCATGATGCTCTAGGACAAAGACTATGAAATTTGGAAGTGACGTTCATCATTTAGTTTGTGGATGTGAAGCTGCTGAACTATTCACCAGAGCATCCTTTTTAGGAGAGGGCAACAAATAGGGAAGGAGATTACCAGGGCAACCTTACTTTCATTTGTTTTCAAAGAAGCAGATATAAATGCCAGTGTACAGATTCACACTGAAGGAGACACACACATGCAGTTGGACTGCTCAGAAACATAATACCTGTCATTACTTTACCCCTGCCATACAGAACAACATGAATCAGGGAGGCTCCTGGGGCCTGGGAAAATGGAAACATGGCTCTAATATTCAGGCCATCATGGTTACTGCTCCCATCCATGTCCCCAGTGCCACCTGGGAGTCTCTTTGGTGGGAAGTTCCTGTCTTAGAGATCACAGATAGTGTGTAACTTTTTGTTAAATAAAAGTATGCCTATGTGGGGCTAACCCCGCAGCCCTGGATAAGGGTCTGTTCATTTATATGGGGCACTGGAAGTTTAGCACAAGTTCTAACTCTAGATTAATGCCCCCTTGTACCAAACACATACCACTTCATACTCCTTTGTGATATGAAGTCAAATCTACCCCTTCAATTATGTAACTCTCAAAGGTATGCCCTTTTCCATCCCTTTGTGTACAAATCATGCTGCCACACAATCATGATGATCTTCTATAAGGAAAAAGCAATGGATGTCACACAGCTTCACATTTGCAGCTGAAAGAAATTCCTGCATCTAAGATATGCTAGGAGCAGGCTTCTGCATTAGGGAAAAAAAAGAAGAAGAAGAAGAATATACAGAAAGAAAGTCAAACAAAAAAAATAGTATTTAAAAAAGTGACTTAATCATGTGCCTACATATTCAATTTAGGAGTTACATCTCCTTTGAGGAAAAGGTTTTGTGGTTTAAAATAACTTTAAAAACCATTGTTGTAGGCCTTTATCATCCTCAAGAAGAGGAAAAAGAAAGGAATCCAGGAAAGGTGTGTCCAAAGGTGTTCACACCAAGCCCAGGTCCCCCCACCACCATGCCAGAAAGGGACCTTAAGTGTCTCTAACACTCAGCCTGGGGTGGCTTCCCAGCATCTCCAGGCAGGAGATGAAACCTCCCTAGAGAGAAAGTCTCTGTGCCCTCCTGCAGTTGCTCAGTGACAGGATTTCATAGCACCTTCCTCTAGTAGTAGAAACCAACCAGAGGCACAAGTGGGTGGATTCAAATGTCAGTTGAAAATCTCTCGGGTAAAGTTAACTACATGGATAAATATGAAAGCTAGTATTGTTGTATTTTTTAGTCTCTAGATCCTCTCTTTCTCCTAAATGATTTAAAAGAAAAATGCATAAAATAATGTTAATTGGCACACAGTATACTAGGACATAATTTGTGATAACAAAGAGCAGTATGGATCTGGATAGGAGCAGAGTTAAGTTGTGTTGTTGAAGCTACATTGGTATTAATTCAAGCAACATCAGTATACTTGTAGGATATTCACTGTATATTATATAGTGATCATTAAGAAAATAACTTAAAAATATACTCAGAAAAGTAAACAAATCATTCAAAATTGAACTTTAGAAAAAAATCCACCATAAAAGACAGCAATATTGGATGAATTGAGGAGCAAAAAATATACGACATAAAAAACACACAGCAAAATGGCAGAAAAATGTTTCTTGTTATCAATAATCACTTCAGTGTAAATGGACTACACTTATACCAATTATGTCAGGAATTGAAAAAATGGATTAAAACTGTGATCTAACTATATGCTGCTTTTGAGACTTACCTTAGATGCTACTATATAACAAGGGTGAAAATGAAAGAACAGGGGAAGATATTCCATGCAAAAGTAATCTAAAGAGAGCTGGGGTGGCTATGTTAACATCAGACAAAATAGACTGTAAAATAAATCATATTAAAAGACACAAAGAACATTGCATATTGAATAAAAATCAATACCTCAAGAAGACAATATAGTGTAACCTTCACAGAAATATAGGCACCCAACATCAGCTCTCCAGAAAGATGAAGCAAACATTGGCAGAACTGAAGGGAGAAATTAACAGTTCCATAAAAATCCTTGGGAGCTTCAATACCTTGCTGTAATAGTGGATAGAACATCTAGACAGAAGTTCAACAGGATACAGAATTCTTGAACAACACATAAATCATCCAGACTCTCTGATAGCAAAATAATGCACATCTCTCTTAAGTGCATATATAACGTTCTTCAGAATAAACAATACATTATGCCATAAACCAATTTTCAGTATGTTCAAAAAATATTGAAATAATTCAAATTCTGTTCTCTAGTCACAATAAAAGAAAGCTAGAAATCAATAACAGAAGGAAAATAAAAGTTCTCAAACTTGGAAATTGAAATAGCCACTTAAATAATCAATGGTTCCAAGAAGAAATCACAAGAGAAATTAGAAAATTCTTTGAGATGAAAGGAAATAAAACATAACAAAATGGATGGGATACAGACAAATCAGTGCTCAGAGGGACATATATAACTGGAAACATGTACATAAAATGAAAGATCTCAACTCAACATCATAACTTTACAACTGGAAGAACTTCTTCCTTTTGATGTTTGCATTTATTGCTATGAGTTTTTTTATTAGTACTGTTTTTCATGTATGCAATAATTTTTGTTATGCTGCAGTTTGATTTTTGTCTAATGACACTATTTATTTTAAATTTCTCATTGATCCATTGGTTGGGATCATGTTGTTTAATATTCAATTACTTGTGGATTTTTCAAAATTTCTTCCATTATTAATTTTTAGTTTCATACTATTGTGTATAGAATAGATACTTGGTATGCTCTCATACTATCCAGGAGAATGTTCTAGGTACACTTGAGAATAATGTGTACTCATCTGCTGCATTTTGAAATGTTCCATAAGTTTGTTAGGTCTATGTGGTATATGAGGCAGGTGACTTTTTTTTTATTTTTCTGATACAGAATCTAAGCTACCTAGACTTGTCAAGCTCACCATCCTCCTCCCATTATCTTCCATGTAG